TACGCACACAGTGTTTTTCCGTAGCTACATTGACTATTAAAATGAGGGTAACTGTGCTAATGCTGTGCACAAAGCCTTTACTAGCAACATTAAAAATAGCCCTTTCATGAAAAATCCTGTTATTATTTCTTTAGGACATGCACTTCTTCCTGACCTCTAGTGAGCTTATATATCAAAATTTGTCCGTTTGGACTCTGCAACATCACTCATCTACCACCTTCTCATACAAGACTGCATGGATATAACACAGGGATCTGCAACCTTTCAGAAGGATTGTGCCAGAAGTTACTATAGCGAATGCACTTGTTTTTACAGATTTTAATTGTGATTAATAAAAATGTAATACTCAAGTATAAGAACATCTAAAATTAATAAATTAATATGCACTTCTTAACATTTAGTATAATCCTTGCCCTTGCTTTCCTTTGCAGAGTTTTCCAAACACAAGCTGACACTTTAAGCAGTACACAAGCCTCTCAGTGCTCAGTTGTTAACCAGCTATGGGAGGAACAAAGAACTGAATTAAGGTGGTAGTGAAAATGCTAGTTTCTTCAAACAATCAAAGTTCACTGGCAGGGGCTTCCTATAGGTCATGATAGAGATGCTGTGATCGCTTTCAGTATTGCAGATCCTGGAACTTTAAGTTCCTTAAATCTGAATGCAGTAAGTAAACCAAGTGAATCATTTTATTTTCCATGTCACGAGCCTTGACTTGGACCTCTGCTTCTTGCCACAGCATGAAACAGTACACTAGAAGAATGATGTAGGCATCTTCATTTATACTGTTTCAGGCTTTATATTGGTTTTGCATTTCTCAAGTTCTTAAGGTCTTAAGGTCATTCCTTTGACACAATTGGATTTATCCTTTGAGATCTTGACTTCTTCCTTGAATTTGATTGCTTGAATTCTACACACGTGGCTGAGCTAGGGGTCTATTGAGCCCTGCTTCCAGTTAAGGAGAAACAGAAAGCTGGAAAGCTGCTTGACTAGCTGGAGGAATCAACATGGGGGATATCGATTTCTTGCAGGGTCTGTGATATAGTTTAAAGGAACAACTAGCAAAAGTGAAGAATAAAATGAAAAAAGAGCTTTGAGCCTAGTCTGTGTATCCATGTTCCAAGAGGACTTGTCTAGCGTTTGGACACATGGAAGTACTCCAAGGAGCTCTTGCTCTAGGGGATTGCAAGACTTGAACCTTTTTGCAGGTTACCCTGCTGTTTGCCTCACTCTCTCTTACCAGTCTGAACAACTCAGAGGCCCCACAGAATCTCACAGACAGCTCATGTTTCCTGTGTGAAGCATGGACCAAACTGCCAAATGTGTAGTCTTTCCTATGTTTTATCTGCGGATTAGGAGCCTCTTGCAAATTTGTCTTTCATATTTCAACATGGTGTGGCCCTACTGCTTGTTCCTCCCTCCCTTTTTAGTAAGTAAAGGTGTTGTCTGAGGGAGTACCTCTGCATTATGGGCAGACCCATGTGATGTTTGTCTGTTTTACCTTAGGCTGGAGTTCTCTGTAAGGCTGTTCCTCTGACTGTTGTCACTGAATCTGGCTTTCTGAGTGTATCAAAAAGGAAAATGGGGATTTCTGGTTTGAATATTGATATTTGTCGCCTCCACCAGCACTCTGTTGCTTCCATATAAACCTTGGATGAGTCTTTATCTCTGCTGCAAAGGGCTGTATCCCCTGCCCAATGGTGTTGTTCTCTTTGTCAGAAGTTTGCAAAGTGATGACATCACCTTTTGTGTAGGAGAAGGCACTGCATGCATGTTTGTCCTCTGAGGTGGACTGCTCATAGCACTTTCCTGGGAGCAGAAAGGTCAGAGAATGGTGGTGACACTTAAGTGCTTATGTCATCTTGCTGTATGTACCCTACCCTGTATGTCAGATGGATGCCAGAGCTGCAATGAACTCTTTCGAAGCTTATTGGGTTCTTCACGTTTAGTGGGCAGGTTTGTGGACGTGCAGAGGTCACACAAAGTCCTTCATTACTCATTCCTTCAAGGTGTCCCATTTAAAGTTAGAACACCGGGCCAATACTGGATTAGGCAGTGGGTTTTGCACTCTCCTTTGCCCTTACTCTCTCTTAGCCTGCCAGCAACCCATTCCAAGCTGCAAGGACTTAAGCCACCTTGACTTGATTTGGTTTTACATGCACTGGCTAAATCAAGGTCTAGTGTATCTTTTGGGAAATGTGTGTTATTACAAAACATTTTGTAGTGAGTACTTTATGCATTATCTTTGATTTGTTTTTTTTCTCTTAAGTACAATCTTTGCAAAAGAACACAAACAAGAATGTTGGTGTTTCTTGTTGTGCTTGTGTTAAGACAGTTAAATGGATAGTTTGTATAACTAAAAATCTCACTGTAGGTTATTGTATATTATATATTAATTAATCTACTTATAGTTATCTACATTGACTTGTAAAACTTGCATTTTTAAAATGATTAAATTACAGTATTACCTTTGAGGCTCCTTAAACATTTCTGAGGAATACAGAATTACACTGAAATTTTTTCTTCATCTTATTTCATACATGTATTACTGTATGAGTGGGTGTGGTTAGACAGGTCATATGTTTATGTCAGAAACGAAAGTATGTCTAAACTGCTTTGTCATTCAGAAGAGAAGTCTTCAGCAGAATAATAAGTTTTACAATAAGTACCGCTTTATTTTAGAGGCACCTTTGCAACATATATGGATAGTGGTGATCTTCTCTCTTCGTATTGTGCCTTAGATTAAACTTAAGCTAAAATCCAATTTTAGAAAGTTAAAATATTTTGTTAAAGATGCGCTATAATAAAATGGGTAGTCACGGTGTTCCATTAACCTTTTGCCTATTTTTTTTGGTGCCACAAAATTAAATTCAGTTTTCTGAAGTAAAAAGGCAAAATATGTGCTCTTTCTAAATTCACATTTGGTTATGTAGTGAAACCTAAATGACATTTATTATAAGTGTTGTATTGATATCCAAAATACATGTTTTTGTTCCATAGACTTGAAAAAATCTATTCTAAGGAGCTGTTATAAATAGCTTTACCTTCAGGGGAAAGCTGTGATGCAGCTTCACATAGCATTGTCAAGATATTTTAGTGTTATTGTGCATTCGTTTAAGAAAATCTGACATAAAGTTCTCTTAGCCTGAAATATCCGCACTAGCAAAGTTTATTAGTATAGTGAGGGTATTTAAAATATTTTAGAAGTTTTCCTGCCTAATTAAAAAGGGATTAAAAAATCAATGCTGACTGATTATGAATATTTTTATACCACTTTTAAATACATGAAATGATTATAATGTGTATTTTTCATTAATTTTAATAAAAATTATTTTAAAAGTATTGGACAAATTTTAAGACTTAAATGAAATATATGTATATCAGAATGGTTGTATTGTAGAAAAGATCATTAAAGGACACATGCAACTCTAATGTAGAGAAATAAAAAAAATAATCCAGTGTTATTCCTTGTGAGCAGATTATTTTTTCACTGCTGTGTGATGTCTGGCTCAGTTGCTTTTTCTTAAGTTGTAGTTTAAAAAATGGTAATGAGGAATTTGAAAGTACAATATATAGGATTTATGAATATAACATTAATACTTAATATATAATTATTAATTACAGTAGACCTGTGTTTTACACGGTTGCACATATACCCAAAATCCTCCCTTAGACTATTCCCCTCCCTGAAACATGTCAGTTGTAAGTGTATTGCTATGTCTATGTACTGTTTGTAGTTTAAAGTATGAAAACAATAATACAGCAAATAAAGTGCTGTATGTTTTTATACAAAATAGAGCAACAACCATATTTCCCTGCAACTCACAACTGGCAACCCACTGAAGCTAAGCAGGTGTGAGCCTGATCAGTACCTGGATGGGAGACCTCCTGGGAAAAACTAAGGTTGCTGCTGGAAGAGGTGTTAGTAGGGCCATCAGGGGGTGCTCACCCTGCGGTCCATGTGTGTCTTAATGCCCCAGTATAGTGACTGGGACACTATACTGTAAACAGGTGCCGTCCTTCGGATGAGACATCGGATGACTCTCTGTGGTCATTCAAAATCCCAGGGCGTTTTTCGAAAAGAGTAGGGGCATAACCCTGGCATCCTGGCCAAATTTCCCATTGGCCCTTAGCAGTCATGGCGTCCTAATAATCCCCATCTATGAATTGGTTTCACTACTCTGCTCTCCTCCCCACTACTAGCTGATGTGTGGTGAGCGTTCTGGCGCACTATGGCTGCCGTTGCATCATCCAGGTGAATGCTGCACATTAGTGGTGGTGGTGGAGGGGAGTCCCAATTACCTGTGGAGTGTCCAGAAAAGCACTATATAAGTGTAAGCAATTATTATAATTAACTAAAATAGATATATAATTAAATGCAGGGAACACTCACCCAAACCTAGTGATAGGTTTGTGATAGGTATGTGTAGCTGATGAAAATTGCACTATTTAACGTGTTCAGTATCTCAGTTTTTAACTCTGAATCAGGCACTTTTCTTAACTTGCCTTTACCCTTCGTACTTGTTTTTGGTTTATGAGCCATACTGAGGGTAATGCAGCACAATATAAAAAAAGTGATGGCGTAACTAGTTCCCAAAGTGTATTGCACCAAATTTGAATTTGTGAAATTTCCCGTATTATTTTATTTTTCATTTATTTTTCTCCACTGACTGTGTATACACAAATTGATCGAAAATGCAAATCTACTGTAAATCTTCTGTATTTTTGTTGAATGATGTCCATTATGCAACATTAGTACTGGTTGTTAATTAATATATTCATAGATAGTCATGTAGTGCGTTCTTGGCTATAAAGACCAGAGGTTATAACAGAAAATTAGTGTAATGGTAAGAGCTGTACCTGGCAGTTGTTTAAAGGCTGTTTTTTCTGTAATGTGATGCAGCATCCAAATGAACATTTAACTGCTGGGGGCTGTTGTTTGCCAGACATTCATTGCTGACCAGATTTTTGGATTTACTGACTCCTTCCTTTCTTTCTTGCAGGGCTGGCTTTGGTCTGAAGAAGCCTCTTAAAATGAACATGGTTAAGAGGATTATGGGGCGTCCCCGGCAGGAGGAGTGCAGCCCGCAGGACAATGCCCTGGGACTCATGCATTTGCGTCGCCTCTTCTCAGAGCTCTGCCACCCGCCACGCCACATGACGCAGAAGGAACAGGAAGAGAAGCTCTATATGATGCTTCCAGTTTTCAACAGGGTGAATGAAGGGGTGGGATGGGGTAGTAGTTGATTACCTCCAGCATTTTACTTCTCAGCATAACAGTGGTTTCTAACTGGCAACACACACACAATTTATTGCATGCTGCTGGTGCTTAGTGGGCATTAGATGGCTGGGGTTCTCTCAGATTTCTACATTACAGCAGTTCCTGGGACCTACTGTGCTCCTACAAGCTTGGAGTGACACCAGTGGCAAATGAGCTCTTCAAGTTGATAGTAACTTGTAAAAATTATTTGTCCTAGCAGGTAGGCATGATAGAGGAACATGATCACTCATTCTCGCTGTATGCCACAGAGGTTCCTTTTAAATTCCTGGTGATTTCACATCGGATAGAATGTATAAACACAAAAGATAAATGTCAAATGTAAAAGAAAAGAGCTTCTGTCATTTTTATTCAACACTTTTTGAAAGGACATGCTACTTTATCTCTTTCAGTCAGCTCACATTCAAATGCACAGAGACACCCACACATGACAGGGGTAAAGGATATTTATTTTTCCAGACATGTTCAATATTCTTCTGTTTACCTTTTCAGGTCATCTTTCATTAATGAGTATGTTTTGAACAGCCATTAACCACGTGAGATTTATACTGCTTAAGCACTATTTCCAGTTTATTTTTTAACATGGGATAGTTTTTAGGGATGGCAAAATGGGAACATACTGTGACTGAGACACCTTAAAAATATCAAGCAATCTTAAAGGTTTCCAAGAACAATTCCACTGATTTACTTATTTGAAGAAGAGCAGTTAGTAGTATGGTGTTTCATCTAGTAAGTTTGACCTGCAAGTATAAAGTCACTTTTCAACTCTGAAGCAGGTTTAAGAGTGATGAAACATGTTTCTAGTGAACCAGTTACAGTTCCTAAGATACTGGTAGTTTGAAGTTCACAAAAAAAATGGTGGACAGGCTGCCATTTTGGAAGCACCATTTTGCTGTGTTTATTGTATTTTCTTTGAAATAATAACTGTCAGACTGAAAGTAATTGGCCAAATAGTTTTTGTTTTGATCAAAGTTCCTGTATGGAATATGCATTAATGAAAAAAATGGTAATCCATCCATCAGAAATGTGGCCATCTGAGTTGAAGCTAGAATGATAGCTACCAAATTTGGAGTAATTTTACCAACCAGTGTTTGAAGATGAACACCTTGCCTTATGGTGTCTGTTTCACCAACAAGGTGATGACCCAGTTAACTTCTCAAGTATTGCTGCAGCCCTTAAGGTGCAGTTCTGAAACAGGACTGAATGTAATGTAAGTGGATGTAATTAAACTGCATGAAATGCTAAGTGTCAGGTTGATCACTTCCAAAAACAATGGTTCTTATTTTGGTATCATATTAGAAGTAGTCATTTGTGTTAATTTTGTCATTTTTGAACATATTAATCAGGATTAAAGTGAAGAATAGGAATTATTGTTATTGTCCTTTCCTGTGGTCCATCTGTAACAAATATGTATAAGTTGCTTCCTGCAGTGTATATTAAATACATGTATTTGGTCACATTCAAAATACTAAAAAACCTTAATGTTTCAGAAGGTAAGTAAATAAAAGCTTGGTACTTTACATCCACTTTTTTAAAACAGTTGCTCTCTGTGTACTCCTACAAGTGTGAGAGTTTGGTGGATGGAGTTCACACAGTATTTGAATATTTAACTAGGAGATAATTGACTTCCATGAATAAACCTACTAGTCAGTAAAAATAATACAAAATGTTTTATGTGTACACTATCTTTCCTCTCTGTAATCTTCTGCATACATTTGAAGAGATAAGTAACAAAGTAATCCCTTTTTCATTTATGCGTAATACAGTTTGTAGTAATAGTGCAGACATGATACTGGCCTTTTAATTGGAATTTGTGTGTTGTCTATGTTACTTCAGGTAGACTCTAGCATTACTAATTCTTTAATATACTCTTGACTACAGTACATCACCTAAGACTAGGCTGTTTCTATTAGGTATATAAAAATGTAGTTTATATTTGTTTTTGCTTTTTATGTTTCATCGTTTTTTTTCCAGTTAATGAAGAATTTAGTTTTATCATATTAATTTTGTGACAGAAACTTTGTTTATGAAGTTGTTGCTTACAAAGGATATATTAAAAAATGGTCACAAATAGTGACTTGTTTTTCAGGCATCTAAGCATGCAAATACATTTACAGATATTTCTCAATAGCCACAAACTATTGTGTTTATTTTACATAGACTCTCGTGGGGAGTAATTCCATACTTGAATTGACCCAAAATCTATTACTCTTTTCCTGTATAATTGGAGTTTTCAGCCTTTGGTCTGTTCAACCTTGTGGTCTATGAAGTTACAATAGTCCTAGTACCCTGCAAGCAATGGGCGCAAGGAATGTATACCATTATTATTACTGCTACTGATGAGTTTTTGCTTTTGCTTTTGTTTGTGGTTACACTGTGAGACATAAATATGTTGTATATTTTATGCATGCATAAGGTGGCAGTTGTAGTGAACGTAGCAGAAAGTACCAAAAGTACCAAGAGTATAGTGGTGGGTTAATATAGTAATGCCCAAAGGTAAAGAAACTGCCAATGAGCACAATGTTCAACACAGTATTTTGCTTGGAACATTGAAACTTTGCAATACAAGTGAAGTAAGCAAAAATAATGCAATAAGTGCTTAGAACAGGGACTAGAGTGGACTGGCACTGAAGATGAGCTGTGGCCACTGTGTATTCTGTGTTATGAAGTGCTGTCAAATAATACCAACTAATCCGTTTTGTTACTTAAAAACAAAACATTTATTTTTTTTGCAACAAACTGAGAATTCAAGGAAAGCCAGAAAATAATGCACTGGCTGGAATAAGGCTGGAAAACCTCATGCAATTGACAAAGATATATGATTACAAGCAGCAACAGGAACGTTGAGTACCATGCTAGGCGAGAAGGCTTTACAATCAAGTACAATCTCACTGTGACATGAAACAGTTCAATGCAAAACTGGAGAGAATGCCCAGAACATTAATAAAAGCAGATAGCAAGAATATGGAAAATTTGCTTCAAGGTTTTACAAGTGAATGTATCAACTGACATTGCAAAGCTTTCAGACCTTGATTGAATTGGCCATATGTGCAACTGCAAAGGTTATTTTTGAAGTTTTGAGTATTTGTTTTAGTGATTTTGACTCCTGCTTTGACACACCAACACATTTGAATTGGCTGTTGTGTAGCACCGTTAGCAAAAACTATGGTAGAAATGGTCAGTGTTCATTATCAACTACTTCTGCTTAGGTCCACTTTTGTGAAGAAAGGTACTCATGCCCTTTTGAATTGTACATATTTAAATAAGTGCTTTTGCCTCACTGATTATCCTTTGCTAGCTAAGTATTATGCACAGATATTTTTAACCCATTAAGGGAAAAGCCATATTGTTAAATCAATGAGTAAGAATTTCACATAATTTAAATTTTACCATTTTTACAAAGTTTTGCACATGCAAATAATCTCCAATATCCTCAAAATACAACCATTAAATTTGTTTTTACAGCAGTGAAATATTTTTTTAACAAACAAATTTATGACTTAGTGCAGACTTAATAAATAACATTGTTAAATAACATATAGTTCAACCAGTAATTTTCATCCACTTTAGCAGCAAAATCAAAACACGGCATCACTAACTATGGATCATAAGAAACAAGACAACCTTCAAAATAGTGTATTTCAAATCCCATCCTAGCAGCACAATCATTCTTTGTAAGACAATTTTCATGATGACTTTCAGTAGTAAAAAATAGCAATATTCAAAGAACACAAGCTGCTAATTTACCATTTTAGAGTAAATATACAAATATACAATTGCAATATATGCAAAAGCAAAAATTTGCTCAATCGCAAAATATTAAAAATCTTATCTATTTATTGTGAAGCAACAAAGAGATTTCAACATTCCTGGAATTTGTTGTCTTTGTTCTATCAGTCTCACATTTTTATACAAAATAGTTGACACTGACAAAGGCCTGTGAAAAGGTTTGGGTTCATACAAGTGCTACAACTTGAAAAATTGACTTTTGAAAAAAGAAAATGAAAATTGTTTGTTGTTTCTTTCTACTTTTATTTTGATATTTTTGATACTTTTGATATTTCTTTTTACTTTGCGTACTGAATAAGATGGAAAAATGTGATGTTTTGGAATTCAAAGATTCAACCAGGCATGTACTCTGTATATTTTCCAAAACAATTTAAGATCCATTGGTGGACATGGCTCTGAAGGGCTGGATTGGAAAAAGGGTTAAGGAGGGTACATCATTAATGTTTTATTGAGTCCAGATGACATGTTTCTCATTACTCTTATTATTGCATTACATTTTCATGTATAATGAATTTTAAAAAAGCACGTGGTGACCCACACAATGTTTTTTTTAAGAGGTCTGCAGATATGAAAAGGTTTGTAATTGCTGATTCATAACTCATGTTCTGAAAATATTTTCATTGTTTCATATTTTTGTAATTATGTATAATTAAGAACTAAAGGTTAACTTTAGAATTACTGTCAAATGGCCAGTGAGGAACCAGTCAGAAATATATGGAGTTCTGCCTTATTGGGACTAGGACTTCATTAAAGGCTGTATGAGGCAGTTCTACAGTTTTGCCGGCAGCCATATCACCCTGCAACTCAGAACTGGCAGCCCACTGAAGCTAAGCAGGTGTGAGCCTGGTCAGTACCTGGATGGGAGACCTCCTTGGAAAAACTAAGGTTGCTGCTGGAAGTGGTGTTAATGGGGCCAGCAGGGGGTGCTCACCCTGTGGTCCATGTGGGTCCTAATGCCCCAGTAAAGTGACGGGGACACTATACTGTAAACAGGCGCCGTCCTTGGGATGAGACGTAAAACCGAGGTCCTGACTCTTTGTGGTCATTAAAAATCCAAGGTCATTTCTCGTAAAGAGTAGGGGTGTAATCCCGGTGTCCTGGCCAAAATTTCCCATTGGCCCTTATCAATCATGGCCTCCTAATAATCCCCGTCTATGAATTGGCTTCATTACTCTGCTCTCCTCCCCACTAATAGCTGATGTGTGGTGAGCGTTCTGGCGCACTATGGCTGCCGTTGCATCATCCAGGTGGATGCTGCACATTAGTGGTGGTTGAGAGGAGTCCCCATTACCTGTAAAGCGCTTTGAGTAGAGTGTCCATAAAAAGCACTATATAAGTGTAAGCAATTATTATTATTATTATTATTATTATTATTACAGTGTGACTCAGAGCTATCAGAATATGTCTTTACATTGGCCTTAAAACTTGGACCCTAAACACCGGCTTCCCAGTTTAAAAATCTGATGTTGTGTTTGTCACATACTGAGACCTGCAAAATTTATATACAGAACCTTTATGCTTTCTCTTGTGTTCTGATGAATTTGCTGTTTTCTTCATCCATTTTTTAAAAATATGATCAAGAGATTATTGCATTACAGGAAGAAAATTTTTTGAAATGCTGCATTTCATAAGTCAAATATCTGTTACAGTATTTAAAATTAAATAAAAAAAGAATGCCATTGGTCTCAGATTTAGAAGTACATTTTGTACTGTTATGAGATATTTTTATATAGATATGAAAAATAAACATTTTGAACATTGAAGCTAATTTAATCACAGAATTTATTTAGCACAACCATAAATGGCATTGCAGTGGAACTAATACTGTAATAATGGATTTATTGTATTACTGCTTAAATGCTTAACTTAATATAATAATAATTGCTTACACTTATATAGCACTTTTCTGGA